GGTCAAAGCAACACCGCAAACACAGGCGGAGCGCCTTCAGGATGCAGAACTATTCTAAAATCTTTTAGAGCTGCTTGGATTCAACTCACTTTTAATTTTCCTTTTATTTGAAAGAAAATTATATATAATTTGTAATTTTTAGTAGTCATTATGCTGTGACTGATATCATGTGCATTACAAGCTTCTGTTTGAAAAGAGCGTTCATGTGTAGGCCATATGTGTGTGTGTGTGTGTGTGTGGTTTCCACAAAGAAATGTAGAAAACACAAAAGATTACAACTTATGTAGAGATCACTAGAAAATTAAGTCGTTATAACGAGAAAACAACTCCCGTTATGTCGAGATTACGTGAAAATTAAGTCATTATAACGAGAAAACAACTCCCGTTATGTCGAGATAACGAGAAAATTAAGTCGTTATAATGAGAAAACAACTCCCGTTATGTCGAGATAACGAGAAAATTAAGTCGTTATAACGAGAAAACAACTCCCGTTATGTCGAGATCACGAGAAAATTAAGTCGTTATAACGAGAAAACAAGAAGGAAAAAATATATATTGCACGGCCGCTTAGAACTTCCGTACTTGTAGTTGGAATTCAGTTATGTTTTGAAGTAGTTTGATATATTAATTTATTATTATTTATTTGAAGAAAAAAAATAAATATTTAAACAACACTGCTTTACTGCTTATTATTTAAAAGCTTTTGTCCACCAAATTAGAGTCATGTGGTCCAACATTATGCAGAAACATTAAACAGGTATCGAGAGGACCCCTGCAGATCCTCATGTTTTTTAAAGATCAGTCAGTCTCTTAAATCTGATCATTTGACTTTTTCATTACAAGACAAGGTTAGTAAAATGTCATGCGATGCAACCAAACACTTGATATATATATATAAATTAATAGTTAATGATGTTTGCAAAAAGTAGTAGTAATAATAATAACTTTTTACCTTCAACAATATAATTAAAAATATTTCTGAAAATAATTATTAAAATGCGTATACTCATGTTTTTAAAGTGCAATGAAAATATTTGTTTTTAATATTTTTTTTTAATTATTAAATGTTTTTAAATACCACATGAAACCAACATGAATACAAAAAGTAATTTTTGTAGAAACTAGATTTTTAAAGGATCTTTCTTTTTCTTTATCTGTAACACACTTAATATTCATTGACACAATAGTATAATAACAAGATGGAGATCCTGCCTGGTGAAGTCGGGACATCAGTGGAGAGTTTTTTTTTTTCTCAGTGATTTAATTATGGTTTGTATTTCCAATTCAGAGGCTTGAGAGGTGTTGTATAATGTACTTAATTCTAATGGGTTTAATAAATCCAAGCAAAGGCAGACTTCAGTCATACTAAAATAGTAAAGCATCAAATACTGAGAGAAAAACAGCAGTAGGGGCGATAGAGGGAGAAAGGGGTGTGGCTTGACACAAACTGTTTTTTGAAGCTCATAGTGTGACAGTGTGTGATTGGTTGATGGAATCAGGGTGATGTGATTTGTTGCGGTTTTCCAATTTCCTGTTATTGATAGCATTATTAAAACTGTGAGGCCTGGCATTTTAATCTCTACTGAATCCAGTGATTAATGTGTTAAGAGGGAAGAGAGATCAAGTTTATCCCAGAAAGTTAAGAAAATTAGTCCATAAATTACTCGCCCTCAAGTCATCCTAGGTCAGGGGTAGGCAATTAATATACACTGTACAATGCATTATATAGACTGGATTCGTCTGAAAGAAGAAAGTCATATACACCTCATATACACCTAGGATGACTTGAGGGTGAGTAATTTATGGGCTAATTTTCATTTTTGGGTGAACTAACCGTTTAAGCGTGTTTCCCCTTTGTTTCCTGAAAGCGGTGCATAGGCTGTCTGGTCTTCAACATATTGTTTTGTTTGGTTTGTTTGGTTGGACATGCATATATATATGAAGTCTGATTCATGGCATGAGCTGAAGGAGCTGAAATAAAGTCGTAAATGAAGTTTAAAAAAAGCGCCCAAGCAGCTGACAAACTGTAAGCTATAGGCAGCAAGCACAAACCACAAATATCTCTCCCATCTTTTCCGCCTCTCAGGTTTCCGTAACCTGCATGTGGATGATCAGATGACAGTCATACAACACACCTGGATGGGAGTGATGGTCTTTGCTCTGGGTTGGAGGTCCTACAAGAATGCCAACGCGCGGATGCTGTACTTCGCGCCAGACCTGGTCTTCAATGAGTCAGTCTCATTCTCTTTCACATCCACTCTGCTCTTATTTGCCTGTTTTCTTTTGTGTCCGGCACCCATCTGTGTTCTGCATGGTTGACTTCTCTCTCTCATTCCATTTTCTTCTTCTGTCCATTTGTTTGTCTTTTGTAAATGTACTAATCCATCTTTCCTCACAGTTATTTTTCTTTCATTTCTCCTCAGCGGCCCTTTCTCTACCTTATTCCATCTCTATCTTCCCCTCTCTCTCTCTCTCTCTCTCTCTCTCGGGCAGGTACATATCTTGTACTTCATGCACACAATAACAGTCTTGTCGTGGATGCTTCCAAGGAGGATCTTTGTCACAAACACTATACCAGGAGAGATTGGATTTTTTAGGGGGGCTCAATGGCCTTTTTCACCAATATCTGAAATAGAAGACTTACTTCCTAAATGCATCTTGGCTGTATCCCATACCACTACTGCTGACAGAATTTGTGTTGTAGGCATGAAATACATTTCATTTAGTGAGAGATTTGGGAGTCATTAGATGACTGACCACATTATTCAGTACTGCTTTGTAATTAGCGGGTGTTGAAAAGTTGTTATTGTCAGATGTTTCTTTGTTTGCTTCTTTCTCTCTGTGTATGTCAAATAACCTGCCCCCCTATTTGTCAGTCATAGGATGCATATCTCCAGCATGTACGAGCACTGTGTTCAGATGAAGCACCTCTCGCAGGAGTTTGTGCTGCTGCAGGTCACACAGGAAGAGTTCCTCTGCATGAAGGCCCTCCTTCTTTTCAGCATCAGTGAGTCTACTGCTGTGTGTGTGTGTGTGTTCAGAACAAACTTTTTCTGCCAACGTACTTATGGATACTAACACCTAATGACAGATTAAAAATAATCATAATAATAATTAGAGGCATATTTCCTGTTTTCTGTTGTGAGAAAGATATGATATTTTATATAAACTTATCTAACATAAAATGAGCCAAGCTCTTCAAGTAGCTAGCATAAAATGTCTATATCCAGCATCTTGAAATGGTTACATAAGCCTGTCCAGAAAACTTTTACACTGTATTCAGCAAATCAAATCAGTTTTTACAATCTTGTGAATTGATATTTAATCACTGCAGTATCAATTATTTTAATCAACTATTTTTAATGCCAAAACCTCAAATTGTAGCGGTGTCTCACATTTTGTGCTCAACCCTGTTACTGCATAATTTTCCCCAATTACAAAAAAATATATAATTATAAATGAACAAAAAATTTGCCCCAAATAAACTGCAGAGAGATAGCTTAATTTATACATAATTTGATATTTTATTTATGCTGTTTGTATATAATGGAATATTGATGTTATTTAATGTTTATGCTAGAAAATATTAATTACACAAAATACAGTCTTTTAAACTGCATAAATGTCCTACATTATGGTAACAGGGTCACAAAACTTTCAAACCTCTTATTAAATGTATAGAAAATAAAGCTAATATAAAATTTAGTTTGACCTCCTGAAGGTTAAGTACGTCCTTTCGCTGGGCATTTATTTAAAAAGCAAGAAGTGACTTTTTTAAACTTAAAGTTTTCAGATTATTTTAAGAGTTTTAGTCCCTTCGTACCCTATTTGTAGTGTATTTGCTATTTGTATTAAAAACAAACAACACCATTATCACAGTACATCAACACAACATAAGTACATTTTTAATGACATGTTCTTTTTCCAAGTGTATGCAAGTTCAGGTGAACGTTTTTATTTCTGTTTCTGCAGTTCCAGTGGAGGGGCTGAAGAGTCAGAAGTATTTTGATGAGCTGCGTCTGACATATATAAACGAGCTTGATCGTTTAATCAACTATGGCAGGAAGACCAACTGCGCCATGCGCTTCCATCAGCTGACCCGATTGATGGACTCACTGCAACCAGTTAGTAACACATACACAAAAAACACGCATAGAGGCACCATACACCAAGCATAATGATTTGTGTGTTAGATGCAATAATGGCCCAATGAGACCCTACCGTTCAAATGTTTGGTGTCAGTAATATTAATTAATACTTTTATTCAGCAAGGATGCATTAAGTTAATCAAAAGATACAGTAAATGCTTTAACATAGTGACAGAACATTTCAATGTCAAATAATAACAATGTCAATTATTTCACAATATTATTGTTTTTTGTCAAGTAAATGCAGCCTTTGTGAGCATAAGAGACTTCTTTCAAAACATTACAAAATCTTACCGACCCCAAACTTTTGAACGGTAATGTATATATCCATACACAAATAAGACAATTACAGGCAAATTCACTAAAAAGTTGTGCTACTTTTGTATGCATGCATTTTGATCATTAACAATCTGCAATCCAGTTTAACCAAGTGCTAAATGCACTGAAATATCCTGCACTATATTTAAATTAATTTGTTGTCATTCTTTCCAGTGCAAACACACCATTCTATGTAAATTAGGCTCATTATTGATGCACCTTATTCACAATACTCAGCCGTTTGCATTTGGCAGATGCTTTGATCCGAAGAGACATACATTGCATTCAAGGTATACATTTTATCGGTTCATTCATCCCTTAGGATGGTTTACCCAAAAATAAAATTCTGTCATCATTTACTCACCCTGAAGTTGTTTCAAACCTGTATGAATTTCTTTCTTCTGCTGGACACAAAAGAAGATAGAATGTGGGTAATCAAATTTTCAGCATTTTAAAGAGCCAATTCAGGTGAATGCTGTACAATTGCAGTATACTATGCCAGATTGTGGTAGTCTGCTGCATTGCCCACAACTGAACGCTCAGAACCAGCCTGAGATGGGGAACTGCAAGATGTGCATTGAGTTCACTGCTAATTTTTTGGCTGTGTTTGCACCATTAACCGATTTACGTAATTCCTTTAGTAAATCTGATTCTAAAACAATACAGGTAGCACATGGAAATAATGACACAATTGACAGGCACAATTCATTCTTTGTGAATTCTTCCTTAAACATGCTATGATTTTCTCTATCCCTTCAGTTTTTCATTTGGTCATTTTGCTTATTCTTGTCTCTCTTTATCTCTCTCTTTTTCTCTCCCTCACCCAGATTGTTCAGAAGTTGCACCAGTTCACCTTTGACCTCTTTGTCCAAGCTCGGTCCCTGCCCACAAAGGTCAGCTTTCCCGAAATGATTGCAGAAATAGTCTCGGTCCAGGTGCCAAAGATCCTCGCCGGCCTGTCTAAACCAATCCTGTTTCACAAATGACAAGACTACACCCCTGAACCACTCATCCATACCAACCCCAACCAGGCCATATGAGCCAGTCAGTTTGGTCTGATCCAGCCTAAACCAGCCTGCCATGCTTTTAATCTGGACTCGAATCGAGCGACGGGACTGAACGATACTGATTTTTTAGATTTTCTATTTTTTAGAATTTCTCCCCCTCTCTCCCTCCCTCCCTCCCTTGCTATATCAGTCTCGTCTCTCTCTCCTTTTGAAAAATGGCCCTGAAAAGTCGTGGGACCATTACATCATTACAGTTGTCTATCTTCTCCTCAGAGATCATTTGAGCTCATTTTCTCAAACTGACAGCATGGTGTGAAGCAGGTTTTGTTCTTTCTTTCGACCAGCAGTTATCCTTCAAGAGTTACAGCGTGTTGCCTGGTGGACAGGTTGGGAAAAAAATATCACACTGAAGTTTCATCTGAGCCCTTAATCAAAAAAAAAACCGGACATTATGCAGATCTCTATCAGAGTCTGTGACCTGCCTCCACTCTATGCATCGCAGTATAAAAAGGTTTCATTTATTGTCCATGACTTGAGAGATCAGGAAAAGCAAAGCAGTATGCATAGAGAAATACATCCGAACGTGAGACAAACGGTGACAGAATCTCTTCGCTTGTGACTTTTACTCGTGTGAGTTAGAACAACACAATACTAAATACAGTATTGTAGTATTACAACAGTATTTCAGTACTGCAGCCTGGCTATCAGTCTCCTCCCTGCTTTATTAGTTTATTGATTGTAAAACAAGTGCTTCATTCATTTCTTATGAAATGTAGAGGCTCTTTAAAAGCTTTTAAAAGAGGCATCATTCTTTTGGGATCAGACAATTTGAGACTTTTTCATTCAGTTGAAAATCTGTCACAGTTGTGTTTTGCCACTAAGAATTAAAGAACAGCACAATAAAAAATAAAACAAAGTCATCAAGAGTTGCCTCCTCCAGACAGCAGACATTTGTTAAGACAGGGCTCAGTGCCCTCTTTTGCAACCTGGATATTAAAGTGCAGGTTTTAGGGTATATTGTTGACAGTTTGTACATAGAACATAAATAAAGCAACGCTTGGGTCAGCAAAGAAGATCTTCAAATATAGCCTATACACATATATATAAATCTATGCATGCTGTCTTCATATCCATCAACAAAACAAAAAACAATTGCATGATAAAGCCCTAGATATTCAAACAAACCAAACTGCATTTCCAGTAAGCTGAATGGATATTGTTAGGAAACGGGACTGTTTCCCATAAGGCTCTTATGAAGTTGCTCTCTCTCTCTTTCTCTCTTTCACTGTCCTTAATGGAAGATTTGGCAAGGTAATGTTCTTGTATATACATCTGTAAAAGTTGAGTGTGGTTCTTTTAAATCTTCCTATGTGCTAAAGTATGGATGTAGTCAATAGTGTTACTCTTTCCTTTATAGCAAGTGCCACTGAGGGATTTGTATTTCTCCGCGCTAGCAATAAGCAATCACATCACATGCTTAACACACTCTTTTAACTAGCTCTTTTAGAATACCAAAACATGCTTCAAATGGTGCACAGCTTTAAAAAACAAAACAAAACTAAAAAACTAAAAACGAGCTATGCGTATGTGCTAACGCAGGACTGTTAAAAAATTTTTTTAAAATAACGCAGGACTGTTATTTTTTCAGAAACTCGTACCAAATATCTTAATCACCATCAACTGTCGCAAATCAACGACAAGTGGTGCTAAAGCTCTCCTCTTTATTCACGAGAGTGTTAACAGGATGGTTCACCCAAAAATGAAAATTCTGTGATCATTTACTCACCAAGTTGTTCTAAACCTGTAACGTTAACTAGTTGTTTTTCTTCTTCTGTTGAACACACAATAGTAGGTTGGTAAGCAGACAGTTGCTGGTAGCCTTACGTACATAGTATTGGGGGGAAAATACAATGGAAGTCAATTTTTTGTTGTTGTTACCAACCTTCTTCAGAATATCTTTTGTGTTCAACAGAAGAAAGAAACTAGGCTACAGGATTGGAAAAACTTGAGGGTGAGTAAATGATAACACAATTTTCATTTGTGTGTGAACAATCCCTTTAAACGAGACAAAAGACAAAACAAACAAAAAAACAAGGCATATGTATTTTTTACTCCGCTTTCGCTTCAATTAATGCATTCACTATTTATCTGTCAGGAAGGAACATCTTTACTCGCTTTCTCATACTCCGGCGCAGCGCGTATTTTCTAGACCTGTCAACTTTTTCCCTCCGCACGCTCTCCGTTTCTAAATGATTGAATAGGCCTAATGCCTGCAGCGTTATGTATGTAGATTACTCTTTAAAGAGCCCTAAAATCGCAGCGCTGTGTTGTCTTTGTCAGGCCTGGGGTGACCTGGGGTGTACTTTCGGCAGAGCACGGAGTTTTCCGCCGAGTTGAGACGACGAGATGTGGTTTAGCTGCTCGAGCTCTTGTCGCCGCGGAGCATGTTGACGGATTAAATGTGCCAGGCAGAGAATATGCTGTCAGAGACAGCTCCTCTGCGCTGACAGCACCGAGCTCCGCGCAATTACACGCAGGTGTTTACCCATTTAGACGGCCCAAAAGCACTCATTAGAATTTGCAGAACTCCAAACTGCACTTTTACCCTGCCAAAAAAGAACTCATGACTTTCACCACAAACCTGCAGCACTTTAGGACAGAGCCGAAGCCAAAGTCTAATCACAAAGTCGTTCATTAGCCGGCGGACTTTTGGAGGGGGCACTTGCATGTAAACAGATATAGTTCGTTCATACTCGACTTTGCGAGAGACGCGCTCTCTCGCTGTCTTATAATATTGTCTGTTTGTAATGTCAGATGTAACGGCTAGCGCAGTGCTCGTGAAGCGACTCGTGCTTGGATGACCCATAAGCTGCTTTGTGACTTTCTTAACACTTCTCTTTTGAGCTATGATGTAGAACTTTGCCTGTTGGTTTTCAATTAAAGTCTTAGGGTTTACTGTTACTGTGTGCGGTTTGGTCAACCAATAGCAAAAGCATATGTGTATGTTTATATGCGCTCTTGTAAATATGTTAGCAGGCACTGCTTGGTCGCCCTTATAAGGTAAAAAAAAAAGGGGGGGGGGGGCCAAAAAGGGCCTTTTTTTGGGTGTTTTTGACAAAAACG